TATGCAACAGCGAATTCATCAGATGAATATTAACCCAGTCATGAATCACTGGGGAGCCGAAGATGCGCGAAGCGAGTGGGGAGTACGCAGCTAGAGTGGACTTCTCTTTATGCCTGGCATCCACCGTGCACGCAGTCCTCAAGGACAGCATCGATCCGAAGTGCTTATACCTGTCTACGGCCAGGAGCCGTCTCTCACTCCCTGGCACGGGGAACGAGAGTTCACCCTCGAACGTGTGGGACTCCAAAACTTGCTGGCACTTTTGTCCTCGAATATGGACTAGTGCTTCTGTTTTGCCTCGGGGCTAATTGATCTCGAGATTGAGTGAGGAGAAGGTTTCAACCCAAACGCTCAAAAGCCTCGGAATACTCTCACTAAATCTCTGCGCAGTGCTGCAAATTAACATGATACATTCATCGTCTACAAAGGCGCAGTCTGTGATGCTGCGCACATGGTCGTACACCTCAAGACGGTCAGACCAAAACTCCTGGGTCGGGGCCTCGAGATTCAAGGACAGGCCTTCAGCCCTCAAACGTGCTTACATGGCGTTCAACGCAATAGAGTAAACAGCATTAAATATCATGGCCCCTACCCTGCCCCCCCCCCCAAAAAAAAAAAAAAACAAAACAACGTGGACGAACAACGCTCTCAAGTGAACCCACGCTAAACCACGAGCTCGAGTGTAGAGAGCACAAGAGTTCAGTTACATTGGGGTCTACTTGCCACTGCTCCAAGAGGGGGCCTTTTTCTTCGATCTGCTTCAGTATCTGCTGGGCAACTGTGCTATTCAAGCCTAGCGATTCAAGATATGCAAGGCGGGCGGCGTGCTCAGGTGCGATATGCGCAGGGAATCCAAGCACTAATTCTCTCACAACTCCGTCGAATGCTTTGACTAAGTCGACGAGCAAAATACGCGCTAACCACCCTCTCTTCTCCGCGTATGCTATCATGCTCTGTACTATGTGCGTGGCGTAGTCGGTCCCGCGCCTCGGGGCAACGCCAAACTGCGTCGTCGGCATCTTCTCGTTATACACAGGATCGATGCTTCTTTTCCATGCGACCTACGAACGACTTGCCAGAGTGATCCGCCAGCGAGATACCTCGATACTCATTGCGTTCCTGATTATCTCCTTTCCCTTTAAGCAAGGATGCCATCGTTCCGCCCGTCCATTGTCGTGGCCAACTCATGGTATTTACGATATCGTTATCGATCTCATTCAAGTGTAGCGCCAGGGGCCACTCACCAGCCTGAAGGAGCTCCGCGGGGACCCCATCACACCCTGCGCCCTTGTTCTTCGCGAGCCTCTGGATTGCCTCGTAGGTGGCCTCGGGGGACATGTGGGGCGCCAGGGGGGCTGGAGGCCTACCGGTACGCGGGATAAGTGTCTCGTTTAAGTTCTTGACCTCCGCCTGAAATACTCTACTGTAGCGCTGTAACCAAGCTAGGTCACGATCCGCCGAGGAAGCCGTTAGAACACCCGAGTCCAGCTTAACGTCGGTGTTTCCACGAACTCCTCCTCTCGACAACATGCGAACAATCTTAAAGGTACCAGCGAACTTCCCATTGAGGGCATGCCTGTCAAGCTCAGATGCGTGCTCTTCTAGCATGATGTTCCGATCTATGTCGCAGAGGGGCTTGATCATGCCCTTCAATATACGTTGACTGTGTACAGCACATGCAATACACCTGCTCATGATACGCATGTTCATGTATATCTGCTTGTATTCGGCTGCGGCCATCCACCCGTGTCTACATGGCGATGTACATGGGCATGGAGCATGCTTCTGAGCTAGCAGGACTTGAAAGACAAAATGCAATCGAAGCCGGCGCCGCTGCTGAAAAAGCTCGTGTACGTGCCGACGGAGTGGGGCATCCCACTTCAGCACAGTCCACGTGCGATCCGAAATCCACGGTTTTGTGGGGGTACCTCTCTTGCTGCCAAAGGCCTCGTAGGCCGCTTGCCGAACATATTCATTGAAATGCTCAAGTTGTTCGGTCGGATCTCCGCCAGGCATCTGATACTCCCACGTCTTCTTTTGAGACACCGCTCGACAGCTCGGATCATTCTACTGCCTACGATCGAAACGAGCTGGGAAGATGTGAGATGCTTTCTCCACGACGGCAGTGTTCACTTCCTGATGAGGCACTGCACGTACGACGCACTCAGCGACGACAACTCTGTGATCCACTGTATGATCGAGAGCCAAATCTAAATCATCTGAAACCCAAGCTCTCCGTTCGGGTACGTACTCGCTCTTCAAAATGCACGCGTAGTCCAGCCGAGACGGCTTGCCTCGATGCGGTCTCCACGTCCACTCGCCTGCTTGAAAGGCATTGAGGGCGACCATGAGCTGCGCCTCCAGCGCGGCACGCATGAGAGCGCCATTGGCGTTCTCTCTGGTAGAGCCTTCCCGTCCGATAGCACTCGACTGCACGGAGCCGACACGCGCGTTCGCATCCATGGCTAGGACCACGAATGCCGTGGGATATCTTTGCCTCCACACGGTGATCGCGTCACTGAGCAGAGACCAAAAACTCTGACGATGCTCGGGAGAGTCATGAGAATGAGGTGCATGTGCTGCGACCGCCAGAAGAGGAACTCGTTCCCCGCCCCCATCTGCTGCGATCGCCCCTGCTGCTATCACGATCCGTGAGTGCGGGGCAGCCCAGGCCTCCATGCGAAACTTGATGTCGTAGCTCACCCACAACTGAGTCCCATTGCAGCCCTTGGCGCCCGCCACTGCACAGTACATGTTATAGAAGGTACCTGCTCTAACTTGCTCAGACCGGCCTCGTCCCTCTTGAATGCCGATCACGTGAATTCCTGCATGATAAAATTGGGCCTCTAGCAAGGCCACCTTCGACATCAAGGTAGCTCCGACCACCTTTGAATAACTAGCTAGCTCCTGCTTGGGGTACAACGTGCGCACATTGCCCGTGGCGCACATCACTCTGACGGAGGCCGAGCCCTCTATGCCGTCGCAGCTGGAGGGCCCGCATCCTGAAAAACTGGTATGGCCTCTGCGGCTCCAGCAGTGCCTAGCGCCATCGGGGTCTGCTTCCCCCGCATGCGGCGCTTCACCGTCTGGTCGTCTGGCTCCATATCCTCGTCGACTGAGTTCTTCTGCACCGGCGTGAGCTGTGCATTGGCCTCCGTCGCGATCCTCTGCAGGCCCGCGAGAAGGCGCATGATCTCCGTCTCTGCCTCCTTCAACGTTGTCTGCGGGATCACGGCCGAGGACTTCATGTCGGCGATGACTCTCGACAGGCTCTGGGTCGACGCCTCGAGGGAGTTCGGAGCATTGACCTGCAGCGCCTTGGCCTCGAGCTCCTGCAATTCTAGCTTCCGCTGGTCCGACTCCGCCATGGCCTGGCTCACCTCGTCCTGCGCCTTGGCCAAGGCACGTTGACTGTCGGCGAGGCGCTTGTCGGCCCGCTCCACGGCCGACCTGCACGAGACAAGCTGGCTGCTCAGCGGCTTCGAGAGGGTGACGTTCCTCTTGGCCTCCTGGATCTGCTTCGTGAGGATGTCTCTCGTTGGCTGGAACTCGTCGCCAGGCGGCAACGCAGCCATTGCATTCTCGAGGCTCTTGATCTTGATATTGTGGTCGATCTGCGGGGCCGCCGCAACGTATGACGTGGTGGGGCCGACAGCAGAGTCCACTGCCGTGGTGCGCTGGGCCCACGGTGGTACCGTCTCGGACTTGTCGGACTGCACCACTTGGGCCCAGCTCGTCTTGAGACCACAACCCTTGCACTTCTTGGATGCCACCTGATTCCACGCATGGCATCCGCTCGTACGACACTGCCACCACTGCTCCTCTTGCCACCACGGCTTCTTGACAGAAGTGGGCTGGGCGGATGCCTCCTGCCACCACGCGCACGTCATCTGAGGAGATGCTGGCGAACAGGAGACTGAGGGGCAGTGCGAGACGTAGGCTTACGTTCTGACTCAATGACCCCCTGGTCATCTTGAGCCAAAGTGGATACGGACCCTCCTCCTCCTCCTCCTCCTCCTCCTCCTCCTCCTCCATTCCTTCTCCTCCTCCTCCTCCTCCTCCCCCTCCTCTTCCTCCTCCGTTCCTCCTCCTCCTCCTCCTCCTCATCCTCCTCCTCATTAGAAGTACTTCCTCCCTGTCGCACCCCGAGGCCAGTTTTTGGGGCGGGCCAGGCGTTTCGCCTGAGACCCCTCACCGTTTATGACCCCGAAGCTTGAACATTGGCAGCAATTTCACACATAAAGGGCCACCCGTTGTCAAAATGTGGCTCTCGCCTTAGCGCTGCGCACGTTGGCTTTAAACAGTGGCAAGGGTCTCACGGATTGAGGGCCAGCCGTTTTCAACATGTGGCTCTCGCTTTAGCGCCGCGCGCATTCGTTTGAAACGTTTTCAAAATGTGACTATCGCCTTAGCGCCGCGCACATTCCTTTAAGCAATTTGCAAGAGTTTCGCGGGTTGAGGGCGGTTCCTTTTAAAATGTGGCTCTCGCCTTAGCGCCGCGCGCATTCGTTTTAAAATGTTTGCCAGAGTGTCACGGGGTCCCATGATCAACGTACCAGAAATAATGTGTTGGAAGGACTCTGGATTATGAGGGTGTAACAGTTACTTTGATTCGTGGTGCTGAAGCCCCAGGAATGGTGTTCTGGCACGATTCCGGATCGTCAGGACGCAACAATCAGGCTGATCCGTGGCGTTGGAATCCCGACAACAATTCTCTGCAAGCTTCCGGGGCTTCCAAACGGTTGTCTTCCAACGCGGCAATTCCCTCAGTGGACATGAACCCTTGCAGGGGCCTATGAAGACGGAGCTTGGAGGGTTTATTCCAACATCGCTGATGACTCTTGGGTTTGCACTGGTCCTCCTCCTTTTCCTCTTCTTCTTCTTCTTCCTCCTCCTCCTCCTCCTCCTCCTCCTCCATCCATCCCCTTCCCCTCCTCCCGCTCCGCTTTCCTCCTGCCCCCCCTGCTCAAAGCGGTTGCCGCATGCGGCAGCGCCGCCACCAAGCACGCGGCGCCGCCGATGAAGACGGACTTCGGCTGCCCCGAAGCCTCCCGGGGCGCGGGGCGTCCGAGGAGGCCTCGCGCTCGGGGCGTCCGAGGAGGCCTCGCGCTCGGAAACCGTGCGGTTGCGACTGTCGCTGGCCCCGCCCTGCCGCAACCGTCAAAACGACAGCCGCCACCAACACCAACACCTTGTGTTGCATCCTCGGGGGACCTTGTCTGTCCCGTCACGGTCCTGTCCGCGTCGAATCCGTGTCGGACTCGTCGAATCCGTGTCGGATCAGTGTCGAATCCGCGTCGGATCCACGCCAAATCCGCGTCGAGCCCGCATCGAGCCCGCGTCGGGCACAAGAAACGACACCAACTTTGGGGACAGGCGACGTTTCCCGAAGATGCAATGTAAAAGCCTCCTCCTCCTCCTCCTCCTCCTCCTCCTCCTCCTCCATTCTTTTTCCATATGAACAACTTCTCCCTGTCGCACCCCGAGGCAATTTTTGGGGGCGGGCCGGGCGTTCCGCCAGAGACTTCCTCACCCTTTATGATTAGGAGGCTTAAAGTGGCACCTTTTTCACAAATGGAGGGCTGGTGGTTTCCAAAATGTGGCTCTCGCATTAGCGCCGCGCACATTCGTTGTAAAACATTGCAATAGTTTTGCAAACTGAGGGCGGGTGGTTTTCAAAATGTGGCTCTCGCCTTAGCACCGCGCACACTCGTTTTAAACAATTGCAAGAGCTTCACGGATTGAGGGCGAATGGTTTTCAACAGGTGGCTCTCGCATGAGCGCCGCGTTGTAAGAGCTTCACGGATTGAGGACGGATGGGTTTCAACATGTGGCTCTCGCCTTAGCGCCGCGCGCATTCGTTTTGAAAATTTGCAAGAGTTTGGCGGATTGAGGGCGGCTCCTTTCCTTCAAAATGTGGCTCTCGCTTTAGCGCCGCGCACATTCGTTTTAACAATTTGCAAGAGCTTCACGGATTCCCATGGTCCACGTCCAAAACATTGTGTCTTGGAGAAATTCAAGATTATGCGGGCGCAACTGTTATGTTGATTCGCGGTGTTGAAGTCCCAGACATGGCATTCTGGCAATATTCCAGACCGACAAGACGCAACAGTCAGGTTGATCTGTGGCGGTGAAATCCCGAAAACAATATTTTGGTATGCTTCCGGGTCTTCAAGGGCGTCTTCCAACGAGGCAGTTCCCTCAATGGCAATGAGCCGCTGTAGGGGCCTATGCAGAGGGAGCTTGGAGGGAGGGTCAATTCCAACATCGTGGGTAACTCTCTGGTTTACACTAGTCCTCCTCCCCCTCCTCCTCCTCCCCCTCCTCCTCCTCCTCCTCCGACCCCCTGAATACCGCGGAGTGGCGACAGCCTCAGAAGACGATGTAGTGGGATGCCTGTCTTTGTGCTGTTTTAACCGCGGTCGCTCGAATCAAAACGTTTTGCACCTGGTCGCATTTCTGTCTGGGCCCTCGCCCTCCAAGAAATCGAACAGACAGGCGAGCCGATTGCAATGCACAAGAGCATGATGCAATCTGGCACTCTGGGTTCGGGTGGGAGGGCTATACCAGCAACTTAGACATATTCTTGGTGAACAACGAGGCGTTGCTGGCATCAACTGCTGCTGACATTCGGGAACACAACCGCCAGGGATAGGGTTCCGCGATTCTGGTCCAAAAAATCCCCTTCTCATTTTTGCCTTCCAGGGTTTGATGGGCTCGGCGAGTGCGGCAGCATATTCCATTAACTGATGTGCACTGGCGGACCACACGAGACAAGTCGATATGCGTGGTCATCAAACGTGTTCTCTTCCTCCAAGGCTTACCATCCATGCGAAAGTCTGTGTAATCAGAGCGCGCATCCTTACGTGCGGTCAGCTTCACACATTGAGGGAGGTACCACAAGATCGAAGTGCGCGGATTCTCCAACGAGCATGGGACACGTCGGAGGCGACAGCGCTCAAAAGCACGAGCTGAGAAGTCGGCTAACTGGTTGCCAACCTTCACTTTGTCGCTGTCGGCTGCTGATAGAAGCCCGCCAAGCCCTCGGGGATGGTCTGAACTACGCAGAGCGCCTGGGCCGTCACCACGGCCCCGGGCGCGAGAGAAAGTACAACACGGCGCACCGAGATGCGCAGCCCAGATCACCCCTGAGTTGAGGAGCTGGAAAAATTACTTGACGAGATGTGGATTCGTGGCGTCACTTCGGGGCCCGTGAATCACATCAACTTCAATCACTACGTATCCTCGCTTGCGCATTGCTGAAGACCACTTGCCTAAGCCCGAGAAGAACTCCACTGCCACCCGAGGTAGACGACGCTGTCCAGCACTCACGGCAGCTCTAAGGGATTCGAACGCCTCAAGAGGACATCTCCGATTTTCTTCCAGGCGGCGTCGCAGAAGGCCCGCGCCGCGACGGGCAGCGCGGCGATCTGCTCGTTGATGCGGTTCTGCTTGCCGTAGCGCCTGACGGAAGAGTCCGCCGACCAGCGGCCGCGAGCCTTGACCTCGGCCAGGCGGCGGATCCGCTGGGCCAGGTCGCAGCTCGGACCTGCGTGGCGGAGCTGGTGCGCCACCGGAGGCTTGGGAAGACCAAGCCGCTCGCCCGCCATCTTGAAGACAGTGAAGAACGAGCGGCCGTCGAGGTCGCCCACTACCAGCTCGCCGAGGCGGCCCTCCCGCTTTGCCTTGGCATGCATCACCGACATCACCTGATTGAGGAAACTGAGATGGCCGTCCGCGTCGATCGATATGTTCTCGTCGAGCTCCTCTGCCTTGGACTGGACGCCGCCCTCCCGAGGGTGCAGCGTCAGGCACCGCCCGTCGGTCCCTCCTCGGCCTGCCCCGCGCGGCGGGGACCAGTGCCTCCACTACATGCGCATCAACTCCGACGGCCTGAGGTAGAGGTGGAAGGCCAGGAGGCCCCCGAAGGCGGCGAGTGTGAAGCCCAGCGAGCACAGAACCATCGCCAGGCCGAAGACCACCGTCGCTGGGATCGGCAGCCGCGAGGCCGCCGGAGAGAGCTTGCTGAAGCCCACCAGCGCTCGGGCAGTCTCGGGTAGGGACTGGCCCCCCTGGCGACCAAACTGCGGGAACTTCCACCGGATAGCCGCCACCAAGGTGTTCGCAACGCCACTCAACTCCCCCTCGAAGTAGAGCTCGTCGAGGTGGAACTTCAGCTTCTGGCCCAGCGCCTTGGGCGCGCGAGCCAGCGCGTAGAGGTCCCTGATACTCTGATCCTTCACGAATCGTTCGAGCGCCGCCTTGTACTGCTGCTGCACTGTCCGAGAGACGCTCCCCTGCTCGAGGAAGGAGCGGCTCATGGCCTGGAAGCTCCTCCTCTCGACGCCGTGCAGGGTGCGCCTGGCCTTCTTGCGCTCCTCCGCGTCGGGGTGCGACTTGCTGGTCTCGATGGCCGTCCTGCTGGGCTGAGCCGCCGCCGGGCGCTTCCGCGCTGGCCGACGGCGCCGCGCGGCGGGCGCGGGAGGGTCCCTCACCAGGATCGGGCTCTCGAGCACGTGGGTCCTCGCCGTCTCGCGAGCGCTGCCAAGCGGCGGCGAGGGCGTCGAGGGTGTTGGACCAGGGCTCGAGCTCCGACCTGTTCCTCGAGGGAGGATCGCCTGGGTTGAGCTCGGAGACGACCCAGCGGAGATCCGCCGTAACATCAGCTCTGAGGGCCACTGCACAGAATTGCCGGACAGGTCGCACGAGGCCTGGAGCCGATGTGCGGGCCTTGAGCAGAGCTAAGATGGAGACCATGCTGTCACTGATGATCAAGAATATGTGAGACCTGTTCGAAACGGATTTTGCCAGATGCCGAATGCACCAAACCAAAGTGCGGCACTCCAGGGCGGTGATGCGCTCTCGGCGCTCCCATTTCTTGCGATGCAGGATCCTCCAAGAGCCCCCCAGGAGCCCACGACTTTCGCCCTCCCCCGAGATCGGTAGGTTGGGCACGAGCCCCTCGCCCGCGAAGCTCAGCTCCAAGAACTCACCTGAAGGCAGCGCCCCGCCGAGGACCTCCTCCAGCGCCCCCGTCCTGGCAGATCCCGAGGCCCCCTGGTACCGCCAGCGCTCCGAGTACTGCGAGAGGTCCCGAATCATCCCCAAGGAGAGGGACTTGCGCGAGACCCTTCCCCCCACATCGAGGCGTCACAGGCCGGGGCCCTGGGGCTGAAAAGGCTTGGCCAGATCATGGGCGAGGAGAGGCAACAAAGACTGGATCCAGCGGAGCTCCCTGACGACCGACGGCCAGAACGGAGCTGGGTCCTCGGGATGCGTAGCCACGAAAGCGTACACCGCGTGGAGGCAACAAAGGGTTTCTCCTTTCACCAGCGCCATAGAGACAAAGTGTCCGACAAGCCGAGAAAGCTGACGTCCAGTCCCATGGCGGCGCTCAAGTGCGTGAAAAAAGTGCAAGCCATAGACGCCATACGCGGCGTCGCTTCGGCACAATACACCTATCATCTCGACGGAATTCCCAGCCCAAGGCCTCGAGAACATCTGGATCAAACCTTTTATCATGAACGACGAGACCCCTCTCCTCCATGATGTTGTTGATTTTTGTTTGGATGGACCTCCCCTTCTCCACCTCGGTACTTATGGTAATGATGTTGTCCACATGAGGTATAACCGCCCCCTCCTCCAACTTCGGAATGACCTCCCGATCCGTGATCAGGAAGTGGTGCTTATCTGGGATCGCCTCCTGGATCATAGAAGTGACAACATACTGACAGACATTGACAGCGTGCGACCACCCCATAGGTACTGCCCTGAACCGTGGGCAAACGCGAGTAGCAGGATCCACCGGGACCCCAGACACCTCCGAGATCTGCGAGTCCTTGGCACTGGGGGGCTCCATGGTGAAATACCTCCGAAGGGGGTCGGGGAGTTCCATAGTGTAAGAAGCATCCTTCAAATCCGAGGAAAACGTATGCAACAGACTTTCCCCCTGGAGCCCCAACCTCGAAAAAGCGTTAGCCGTGGGGAGGTCGGGCGACTCGGGGACCTCAAAACTACAATTGGAAATCCGAGCGTCCAGGATGAGGCG